ACAGGATGTCATGGTTCCGTCAGTGCACATACCTGGGTTGTGGGCTCAATCCCCAGTGTGGGGCATGCAGGAGGCAGGCAATCAATGATTCTCTCTCATCATTGATGTTTCTATCTCTCCCTCTCCCTTCCTCTCTGATATCAATGAAAAAATATATTTTAAGAGAAACTAAGATGGAGGCATAGGTAAATACCGGGAAATTGCTGCCTCCCACAACAACTTCAAAATACAATGAAAAGACAAAACGGACATCACCCAGAACTACAGGAAGGCTGGCTGAGTGGAAATTCTACAACTAGAAGGAAAGAAAAGCACACTGAGAGCCAAAGGAGCTGTGGAAGTAAAGTGCAGAGGTACGGAGGTTCGCTCACGGAAAGGGGCTGGCACCTGAGGACCCGGCTGTCTTTTTGAATTGGGAGGGAGTCACAAGCTCCCAACTGCTCTGAACTCCAGCTCCGGGAAGTCTCTGGGGACCCAGGACTCAAACGGGGAGAAACTGGACTGTCTAGCAGCAGGCAGAACTCTGGCGGCTTCCCTCAGAGGTGCTTGCAGCAATTATCGGGACACTGAGACCCGCGGCCCCTCAGGGCAGGGCTGAGAATCCGTGATAGCTGCTTGCTCCGCCCTTTGATTCCCTGAGACCCCGCCCCACCCAGGCTGCGGCAGAGGCTTTTGCATATGAATGACCTGGCCCTTTGAACCTGAAATTTACCTAAAAAACTGCAGCTGGGCTAGACAGACCCAGAACTTCCAAGAGAAGGCCCAAGGCCTCACAGCAGCTTGCATTGCTTCACAGCTGGGCCTCATCAGGGCACCTCCAAACTCCAAAAAAGGAAGGGGAATCTGCAGTTCTCTTCGTAGCTCCTGCTGGGTAACCTCAGGCCGAGGCTAAATTAGCACCTCCTTAGATCCAAGAGCCAGTGTACCCAGTTGTCAGAGGGGGACCATCTGGATTACAACTCCTCAGTTCCGTAAGGGACACACTCAGGGGGCAGCCTCAGTGAGCACCAAAGCCCCACTGAAGCAAGTCTTGCCCCAGAAGGGCGTCT